GCCCTGCATTATCAGTAAATGACTCAAGGGAGTGAAGACAGTACAATGAGCAGACAAGTAACATGGCAGATAAGAACCATAAGAGAAACAAATTAAAAGTGTTCTGTAATGACCATCACTGAGCTGAAGAACAGAATACATGGAAGGACAAGTGAAAAAGAGAAATAAATGACAGAAAAAAAGAAGAGAGCAGAGAAAGGATAACACCATGAAAATAAATTAAAAAACAGAAAGAAATAATAAACATACAAAAAGGCATTGCTTTCAAATAAACATATGAGGTTCTTGCAAACCCCAGTCATTGACAGAAGCTCTGTAAATAAGAAATATCAAACACTTGGACCAGGCATACCTTCATCAATGGGTTCATACTTCGAAATAAGTTCAAAGGCAGTTGTTTCAGTGGCTTCAGTGTGGAATTGTTCTTTCACAAGAAATTTAATGAGCTGGCTGTCAGGTAGAATTTTGCCGTCTGGCGAGTAAGCCCGGAATAGTTCCTGGAATTCAGATCTGTGCACAATAGCTCGATAAATTGCCTTGAAGTCTTCCATGCTAATTCTCTGTCCCGAATGTTTGTCAACTGTTTTCTGGGGAAAAAAGCAACCAAAAAATCCATCACAAAAAACAGTCAATACAAAGATACGAAATGATACAAAGAGACACATAAGGCACTTAATTATAACTGATCATAAGAGAGAGAACCAAAGAAGAATCCTCAGGCAACAGTGTGTTATCAGATCATATTCCTCAAATTTTAGATTTGACTTTGTGTGCTAAAATATTTTATACAGCTTTAAATGGACTGTGTGACATAATTAGCATCTAAATAATTACAATAAATTTATATTTAATGTGTATGCAGTATTAAAGCACATTATGCAAAGTCTCTAAAATGATGTGCATTAAAATAAATTTGCAGCATGAAAGTTATCAAGTGGAAAATATATTTAATATAATACCTCTCCAACAGCACTTTAGACCATATTGTGAATACTGTCCATTAAATTTGCATACAAAACACAGTAACCAGTTAATTTAAAAATGAAATAAGGATGACCAAATTACCATGAGATCCAAGTCTTTCAAAACACCACATAAGAAACACTATTAAACTTTGAAGACAAGGTATTTTATAATAACCTATGATATCATGTTCTATTCTTAACAAGCCAGAATGTTTAACTTAGATTAATTATCCACACTTTCAGAATTCTTAAATTGTAAGCTTGTTTTTATAGAGCTTACAAAATGTTAGCATAGTAATTAATTTCAATGTTTCAGTATAAAAGTCACCAGAAAAATTAAAAGGGTAAAAGAATTTGAGCGGAATACTTTTTTACCATTTCTGCCTTGAACACTTCTCTCAGATTTAATGATTCTGGTTTTCCTTTAAAATTTTTGACTCAAGTAATTGCACATACCAAATATAAATGCATCTAATGCTTTAGCTTACATTATTCTTAAAAGTTGCCAAAGTAAGAGAAATTTGATGACAAAAATACTCACAAGAATTACAAATAAATGGCAATTCATTGCCTCAATAATTATCACTGTAAGCTGATAAAAATTCTTAATTGTTGGCTCCTCAAAGTGAGGTTACCAAAGAGGCTAAATTTCAGCATCTAAAACATGTCACTTACTTCCCCAAAATTTCCATAAACAGGAAATTACTTACTTGAGCTCTGGCTTTGATCAAGACTTTAATCAAGACTTTTGATTATTGCTAAGTTAGATTAGTTTTGAAGCTATACCATCAAACTTAAAAGTTTAATGATAACATTATCAGCTCCTACGGAGTTCCTACTGTACTTCTAAATAAGTACAACAGTAGGGTCAGAACACATAGCTAACGGAAACTGGTACTAAAGTAAATTTCTTGAGGAGTTCTAGTGAAAAATCTTATAAATTAGTACTTCAGTATTTGCTTTGAGTTTGTGAAAGAGAAAAACAATGATAATTTTTAGCAGAAATCACCAGCAAGAAAATATTTCAATACAAATGCTAATTATACATATTTCACAATCACTGAGAAATTCCCTACCTAAGGTTGATATCTTCAACCTGATTTTTAAGATCTTTAAGAAAACTGCAAATTTGTTCATAACTGTTAAAGAGGAAAAGAAATACCAACTTATTTTGGAAATAAAGAGTCTATCAGGACTTGGGAGATGTTCACTTAGGCACTGGCATGAAGAGAAGCTGGGCAAAAAATTAAAGTTTCTATCTCACTTGCCTCTTCATGAAATACAGGCAATAATACTCCACAGGAGAGCTTTTCAAATTAAAGTTATAAAAATCATGTTGCTATAAAAAGATAGTTACAAATTTCTTCTTGGGAGATTTTTATTATTCTTCTTTTTATTAATGCACATCAAATCTTTGCAATTCAGAAGAAGAAGTATCTAGACAAAGAGTCTTGAGAGGAATTATTTGAAAATGTATTATTCCTTAAAAATCTTAATGTTCGTAATTCTGATATTGCTCAAAGGAACATTACAGTAAAATAAACTCAAAGAGAACAGACAAGAAAAAAAAGCAGATTATTCTTTACAAACTATGTTTTCTATAAAATGTGGGGTTTATGTATAACCATTTGATTAACTGTTGATGTGTAGTTACTTAAAAAAATATCAGTAAGATTCCATTCAAGGTTCCTTTGTATTTTTACATATTATTATGCTGATGAAATATTTGGACTCCCAAGCTACTGAATACACTTAAATCTCTCTCAAATAGTGAAGAATACCTGTCAGTACTGCTACAAATAACTAGATCAGGCTATTGAGTATAATATGTTAAATACAACTAGATCAGACTTGTTCTTTGCAGGTCACTTCCTCAAATAATTACTCTCTTCTCTACCCACAGCTGACCGTCTCTCTCAAATTTCTGTCAGAAAGCAAAGTAGATGGAAAATCGAGGAAACTGAGAAATACTTTTAAGTTCTCATGAGATTCTCAAGGTTGGCAATTCTCTCAGTGCAGTGCAAGTTCCAAAACCACAGGAAGCCTCTTTAGCAAGCATTGAGCTCAAGCTGCTGGTTTTACCTTGGCTTGACAAGGCAGAGAACAATGAGAGAGGAACACGACAGAGAGAGGAAATCATAATGCCTTCCCTCTGCCTGTCTGCCTGTCAGCATGACATGACCTAGAAGCTTCTGACTCGCCATAGTTAATTCTCTTCTGCCAAACTGGGGCAGAATTAGCCAGTTGGTTACAAAATTCTCAAAAGAATCACACACACCTCCACACACATACACACCCCCACACACATATACATATATATATATATATAGCCACTTGGTTTCATTCCCTTAGGAAAAGAGCTTTACCAGACAGTTATTTTTGGGGGTGGAAATGAGGTAAAAAGAAAAATCACACAGCTTTTGAGTCATTGCTAGAAAGGACCTGAAGAGCATGTAAACCCAGGATGTCCCAAGGCCCTCAATTTTGCACTGTTTGCTCACTGGGACAACATCCACTTGTTGGGAGTTTTCTTTCCTACACTAAATTAACTCATTAGTAAGTAAAATTTCTAGCTATATCATGTAACTTGATGGAAATCTCTTAAACAGTTCCATATATCTAGGCCCAATACTTTCCCTGGGGGTTAGAGTGCAATTCCTATCTCTTCAGGCACACCTCTTAAATCCTAGAGAAGAGGTATAGTGAAGAACTGAATTAATGGGTGCTTCATCTGTCTTGGTCTGAAGCCTGAGTGGCTCAGACAACTCCATGTTGTCCTGCTGGCAAAAAGATTTTAAGGAAGTTGCTCTAATGGCTCTGTCTAGATTCAGACAGACAGACACCTGGGCTCCTGAACTTGATCACAGAAGAAGCTGGATCAGATGAAACCAGAATATTTTAAATTTTCTCAATGAGTTGGATTCTAAGGCAAGCCCTTTGTTGTCTACTTCACACAGAAACAAAACTTATTTGCTGATTTTGCACACTGTACTAGCATGTAATACACTTCTAAAAAAAAATAAATGTAAAGTCAGCTGAATGTAAGACACTTATGTAACTGAACTTCTAAACTTGATCTACATATACCTTACCTTGAAAATATGTGTTACATGTGCCTCATCAAAAGGTATTTGCATTTTTTCAAGCAGCCTCATGCAGCCCTCTAAATCAATATCCCCAGTCTTGAAATCATTCTGAATGAGAGACCAAAACCACGTAGGAGAGATGAGGTTAAGGAAACTCCTGGCCAACAACATTGCCTTTTAACAGGAGAAAGAGGGGGAGAAGTTTAGTTTTGCTAAACCTAAGAAGATTGCACTTTGGTTTTCTCATAGTCTAGAGCATTCTTGACTTCTGATCTCTGGGAATGCAGCAGGCTCTGAGGTGTGCAAGGAGAGACTTTTGCTCTGTTCCCAAAGACTCCGAGGGCAGTGACAAGAAGGGCCAAAGGCAGCATGTGAAGGAAATCAAGGGGTGGCCAGGGTGAAGAAAGGGGTGCAGTGAGAGGAGGGAAATGTGAGAGAGGCTAAAGGGAATGGTGGGGAGTGCCAAGAAGCCTCAAGGTGAGTGTGCCCAGCACTGCGCCCACCCAGCCACCATCAAACTGGCCCCGGCCCTCCCTGACACCCAGCTGGGGATCCCATGTGTGCCCAGGCTGGATCCAGGCCTGGGGGGAAGAGAGGCATGTGGCGGGTGTCACACCAGCAGCTGTCACAGGACAGGGAGAGGAGGAGGAGGTGGAGCAGCAAAAGGATATCTGTTCTCATCCATGCTGGCTGTGCATCGCCTGCTCCAGTGCCTTCACTGCAGTGGCGTTGCCAGAACCTCGCTCCGGTTCACAGTGGGCTCCTCATCCCACGGTGCCCTCTCGGAACTGTACAGAATGTTTGGTCCCCCATCCCGCCGGTGTTGTCCCGGTGCCGCTCTGCTGATGTCACAAACTGCGGGTGCCCAGCGCAGGCCCCTTCCAGGCCCCTTCCAGCCACTGCTGCTCCGCCATCTTGTGCCTCTTCCTTCGAGCTCAAAGCGGCCCTGATGGCCTGCGCTCACCTGCCGTCTCCCACCCCTTGGACAATTCACAGACCCGGAGTGTGCACCAGGCAGGAGCTGTGCAAGCCAGAGAAGCTGTTCCCTATTTTCCGCCAACTGTGCCAGTGTCCTGCTGGAAAGCTCAGCCAGCTTGTCCGAGGGGTGTCTGCTCTGGTCCGGGATGAGAAGCTGGTGAGGCAGGAGGCTGCCACAACAACATCCTCACCCTCGTCCAAATAAACGGGGACACTGTGCTACTGACCCACTGCAACAATTTAGGGGGCAACTCCTTTCTTTGGCCCTCAGGATAAACTCCCTTCTGAGTCTGCCCACCCTGGGTTGGGGCGGGGAGAAGCAGCAGGTTCCAGGGCACAGGGTGATGGTGGACGTGGGGAACGGGTGAGTGACACCCCGAGGGATGGAAGCGCACATGGGTTGCCATGTTCCTGCCGTGTGCTCAAAAACACCCTGGGCAAGAGGAGCTGTCTGTGTCCTGCTTTGAGGCCCACCAGGATCAGCCTTCAAATCACTGGAACAGCCTTTGAAAGTCAGGCTGGACTTTTGCCCTGACTCCATTTACCACTGATGTTACAGGGATCCTTCTCCTCCAGGCACGCCGCTTCAAAGCTGCCAGCCTCCATGTAAATGTCAGCAAGCCTGAGAGTGAGACTCTAAATGTGACAGACCAAAGGCAGTTTGCCACAGATTTTGTGAAATTTGTGAAAGCTGAGGACACCAAGTTTCATATTGCCATTCTGGAAAACATTCAGGCTTTGTCAGAGGATATATGAGGGGGAAATCTGTGGAGGAAACTCCCTGTTACTCACACTTTTATGAACTGGAATAAACTATTGAATGATCAGCATCTGAACACCAGTGTCTCCAATGTCAAAGTGACTCCATGGTACTGAAATAAACCCTTTGATATGGTGTCCTAAATATAAAAAAGAAGAAAAAGACAAAATGGGGTTGTTTAGTTGATTTATTTCTGGATCACTCGGGAGAGTACAGAAATTTCCATCAGTCAACCAACACTTTAAAAATAATTCAGGTCTGTAGTGACTGGAAATAATTTGTTGTATTTTTTTTAAATTTACTTCATGTACTTTTCAACTGCTCTTAAAGATAGTAGTAATGGTCAAAATGTCAAAGGGAGAACAGTGCTATAGGTGATTCAGCAAGCAAACTCTTACTTCCCTTTGTAATTTTTACCAATACAACATTCACTTATGTAACTTCATAATAAATAAAGCACTGGTTATAAGGAAAGTTGGTAAGGTAGGTTGGCAAAGATATTGGGACATTATATCTAGATTTTTTTCATTGGTACAGACACCCTGTAAATTCAGCCTTCAGGCTTGGCTTGCACAGGAGACATCCCTAACACAGGCACAGGAACAAAGGGACATCAGTACACAGGAGGAATAAATTTCTTATAGCTAGTGCAGAAGATATTTCAGGACTGATCAGGGCTGTATGCTGGGTGCTGTGGCATTATAGAATAAAGTAGTGCTACTTCCCTCCTCCCAGTGTTTCTTACAAAGGCCAAAGGAATGTATGTGATTTTGGTTTACATTCAAACTGTGATGGTGGTTATTTCCTAACATTTATCACAATTTTATTACAAATACCTACCACCTTTGCTGTTTTCTGTAAATGTAAGTTTTAATTACAGTTTCATGAGAAACAAAAGTTAATTTCAAGCAGTGATGTAAACACTAAACTTGAAAAATATTGATGATTGAACATTTAAATGTTATTTTACAAATGCTGGATATTTTTACTGTAAGCACAAGGTTTTGCTGTTGTTCATCACTGAGGGGGGCAATTGCAGTGTCACATGGGTTGAATATGCCCTCTTGGAAATATTCATCTGTGTCTTTATAGCTTCACTGATCAGACTGGTCATGATTGCTATCATTGTCTTGGTTTAAAAATGTGGTAATGAATTATGCATTGCTATGGTTTTGAGGAGAGAAAACATCGTGCAAAAATGGTGGGTTTGGGTTATTTTTTTGATTAAGAAAATGAAGATTTTGCATTTATACTGACCCCTGATTTGGGAGGTTCCTTTTTCTACGTATATGGAGAAACCAATAATGAAAAGATGTTTAATACAAAAACCATGTTTCTACATCATTCTATATTGTTGATGACTAAGTCATATGCTCAATTTTTATTAACAAGCACACTAATTTACAAAGCCTTATTGCAGAAGACTATGTTACAGTGTTTTCAATATTTGAATGAAACTGAAATAAATTAAATAGTTCCTTTGATATATACTGAAATTCTTCAGATTTGCATTGGCTAGAGAACATTTTTCATCTGGTTGCTCACCTTTATGGCCATTCAGCACAACGGTTCTAATCCATGTGCAGGAAGACAGTCACCACGCAGGTTTCTTTCCTGCAAGCAGAAAGCAGGCTGCTGCCCTTCTGACAATGTCCCTTGACAACACCTTTTGCAGATGCCCATTTGTTAGAGAATTTGCACCATGCACTTGAACAGGGAGAAGGTTGGAGCACGGAGAGCATTTTCTGTGCTCCTTTGGTTCTGCAGAGAAAGCTGCATTACCTGTGGGTCATTCTCTTTTCACCCCACAGCTGCTACTGAATCCCATCCAACACCAATCCAGCCCTTTAGTGCCTGTGTTGCTGCTGGAGACCATTCAATGAGCAAGCAGCTGTCTTTACATGGAATTTGGTTGAGTATGTGATTATTCCTTTATTGAAAGTAAGAGGAATTTATTGAAAGTGTCCTACAACCCAGGGATGCTTTAATGAAGATGGCCTGTTGTGAGTGCAGTTCACATCTGCAGTACAAAATAATAGATGAAATTTTGGACATAAATTTAAGTACTAACAGAAACAGGAACAAAGCACGAGAAATTCTGGATTGTGAAAAACACTTTATTCAAACACAAATACTGAACATGAGCAAGCAACAAGGAACAGTAGAGAACAACAAAAAATACTAAGCAGTTAGATGACTTTCACTTTCAAGGTTTATTCCATCAGACCTTATGAGATGCAAATATACGGCATTTTGCAATATACTGTTTGGTACTGTAGAACTCAATTCTCTCTTCTTTAAAATGCACTTTCTCTGTGGCAAAATTGTAGCAAAGAGTGCAATAATAAAAACATTTAATATTGTAGGATTACAAAGCTTTCCTTCCTTCCCTATCAGTCTACTCCTATGAACTTTTCATTATCCTTCCATTTCCTTTCTCAATAGAAGAGGGAATCTGTGAAACCAGAATCTGCAACAAGAGCTGCTCAGAGGGATGGAATTTGGACAGAGTAAATGTTCTGACCAGACTGAAAATGCTCACTCAGTTTTTGCAAAGCCTATGAAATTAATCTGGGAAAGGTAATTACAATATAGGCTTTGTCAATTTTCCCTCTGCATTCTCCAGGATGGGCTTGGAATTTTTTAATTTTTTGGAAAGTGGAAACTTGGGGAGAAGTAAACATTATGAGAAGAAAGTGAAGATGTACAACTGCATTGAACATTTGACTGAACTTTTACCTATACACTCTTGTGACTTTGCATATCTTTGAAATTTAGTTGTAACTCCTTACTTTTTTGTCCATACCAGGGTTTTTTTGTTGCATAGGGAATACATGCCACCTCTCATATCTTTATTCCTAAAATAGCCCTCCTTTTCTCTCTGCTGCTTTGAAAACCGTTTGCATTCTTATAGCTGCTTGTGAATCCATCTCTTTTTGTTGTCATCAGCACTCTGTATTTTAAGAACAGAAATGAGGGATAGACGTGTAACAAAATCAAAAATTCATGTTGGCCAGCTGTATCATGCAGTAGGTGTCCACTGCAGCCAGCACAGCATACCTGGAATTGGAGTTTTATCTACCTATTTACAATCATAACTATCTACTGTTAAAGACTTGCTCTGTGCCAGCAAAAACACATTATCAACAGTTATCTTCCTGTAATATGCTCCCAATACTGCTTTTTTGTTCTTATCTTTGGTTGTTACTAAGTGGTCATGGTTCTTTGTCACAAGGAGAAGATCATCTACTCTATCAGTTCAGAGCAGTTACACAATAAGATGCAATTTTCTTTCAAAATAAAATAGGACTTTTGTTGAAACTCCATTTACAGGCAAACTCACTGGAATCATCAAGTCGGTACAAATGTACCTGAGCCAAATTGGCTCAATTTTTTTTATTTCTGACAATACTTTTGAATCTACCATTAATTGTTGTTGCAAAGAAAATTATCATTTTTGCTAAGCTAGTAACATTAGAGCTTAGCTTGAACTTCATTGTCAGCTTACAGCTGCATTAAAATTGGAAGATGCTTAAAATTAGTACTTGGACTGAAAATTTAATGTTCTCATTATAAAGTTTGCTTCATGTTTTAGTAGTACTACAGCAGGTGGAAAAACTATCAAAATGAGGACACTTAGCAAAACAAGTTTACTCATTTCATTTTCATATTCATTCAAATATGTGTGTGAAATTAAAAGCTAATTTCTTTTTAGTTTCAGAACAGCTAGACAAATCTGTAACAGGCAATAAAGACTCCAGTTATCTGTTGGCAGAAAGTAAAGTCTATCAATACTCCCAGTCTTTGGAAGAAATTCATGTTTTCCCTTTTACATTCTCCAAAAACAATACTAACTTTTTCTTTGCTTCATCCGTGGAATGAAAAAGATATTTTTTTGTAAAACAAAACAGCCATACTTGTATGTTTTCCAGACTGTAGTCTGTACTAAAATCTCCACTGTATTTCTTACAGTGATGGAAAAGAAAGGAAAACATGAGTTTGAAACAGAGGAAATAAAGGTGAAGGAAATCCAAAGAAACTTCTGTCAAGTGTATCTCTCTCACTGATCTCAAACAATCAGTGCATTAATGCTCCAGCTATAGTAAGACCACATTCAAGGATTATTTTCCCTTCTATGGTAAGAATGGTTGAAAATGTTCCAACAAATCTGAAAAAGCAGATTTCATGCCAAGAGCAAGACAATTTTCAGGTCTGTATGTCAGCATGCCATTCCTACACAAACAGTGGATGTTATAGGTCTTTTTGATGAAAGCCTCAGAGTTACAAAAAAATGAATGTGGAAAAAGTCATTATTTCAAAAAACAACTATTTTGAACTATACAAGGCACAGTAACCTGGGATTCTCCAAGATTACAAGAGATGTTTGTTATAGAAAGACTTGGGAACTGCCACCATACAAAACTGAGGGAATAAGATATTTAAAACCGATGACCCATATTATATTAGATCATTTATGAAGCAGATTATCCTTGGGTGGAACAAGCGTAATCTAATCCACTAATCTAAAATAATCTACTACATGTCCTTAAATTCATACTCAGAAAATGTCCTGAGATTTTGGGATCTTAATAATCGGATCTGGTTGGGCTTGGTGGGATTTTTTTTTTTTTTTACTGTTCGTACAACACATTTGGGTCAGCTTTTTTTGTAGATGTAGGCAGTCTTTTAGTTCTGAATCTTTATACATAACTAAAGTTCACCAGAACTGCATATGATCCAGGTGTCTCTCCTTAGGGCAATGGAAGCCCAGTGCCTAGAATGGCATTAGAGCAGAACTAACAATCTGATACAGGAGGGATCAGGGAAAGGGTGTAAATGGGGGGATGTTGGAAAAAAATGTAAAAAGGCAAATTCACAATTGGAGAAAGGAAGAAAAAAGAGACCAGCATTATAATACCACTGTTCTGGAACGTGAGCAGACAGTCCAGAAGAGGGGAACTGAAATCTCAGCTCCCTTGCTGTCTTTCCTTCCTCATCTTTGGGGCAAGTCACATTGATCCACAGATCTCAAATCAATACTCCAGTACATGCGATCCTCAGCCTCTCTGTACTCAGGAAAACCAACCATTCTCCCTGATCTCACAGGTATCCTATT